CTTTCACTGGGCAAAAGATCAAAGGAAGAGATTGTTTAGTGAGGATTAAAGCTTTCAAGTCGCATCCAATATTGTTCCATGAAAACAAATCTTAGTTTAGAAGGAGGGTAGTTTTGGAACAAAGATGGAATTCATAAAAGGGAGGTATATTAATAAACAAAAGGGGGTTTAGATAACAATTGCCTGTATTAATTTTTTATTTGATGAGAATGTAAATCATAAGTTGGGCTAAAGTGTGTTTCCTTAATGGGCTCCCAATCGGCAACGGCCCACTTGATTCTGTTTGAGGGTTTTTGTTTGTCTGCTTCTTTTAATATTGTTATTTTAGATGAATGTAGGGTGCAGTAAGAAACAACTTTTGTTTTCTTCCTGGGTAAGCTTGAGTACATCCTTCATAGAAGGAAAAATGACAATTTTTTTTGCAATTTTTTAATTTATACACCAGTCATTCATTTTTTTAAAACACCTCTTTTTAGAATAAAGTTTTAAATTCTTTGACTAGATAAATTTTTCAAAAAATATTATTTTGATACTTGTGAAAATTATTTTTCAATAATATACTAACTGAAAAGTGCAATCTTTTATAATTCGATTCTAGATAGGGTCAAAATTAACACTTTCGGTTCTTTTTACGTGTAATAATATTGTTAAGGTGAATTACATACGAAAAATTATCCGTTTTTAAAACATTATTTTATTATGATTTTGTTTTTTTAAATACTCTTCTATGAATTAATATATATATATATATATATATATATATATATAAATATATAAATATATAAATAAACTCACTTAAATGGTAATAGATTTTTTTACGAGTTATTTTAATATATAATACCATAAGGTTTCATATTTTTTTAGAAAAATCTTAATTATCATAATTAATACCTTAAAAATTATTTTTATTACTTTAAAAGTATTGATAAATATTATAAAACATTTTCATTAAAAAGAATAAATCACTTAAATCTTCAATCAATACACTCATTTACTTTTTTTTTTAAATAGAAATACGAAAAGAAAGTTATTGGAGATATATAAAGTAAAAGGACACGATGTGACTTGTGAGACCCACACAAATAAATTTAAACAACTTAAATAAGTATCATAAATAAAGATAACCTAAATCACTAATTGGTTTATGAATGCATGTGACTTTGGTAGACCCTAATTAACAATGATTTATATGCAGCTAACCATTAAGAATTTAAAAAAGTATAAAATATGTGATGTTTAAAAAACATATTAAGAGATTTAAGTGATATTTGTAACGATGATATTTGTATAGTTCATTAGTTGAAACGTTTTCAATTGTTTCTCGAAGTTAGCATAATTGAATAAACTATATTAATATATGATAATTATTATTTGTTGTTCAATTAACGTGAAAAAGTCCTAAGTGTATTTGATATGAACGTGGAATGGTGTTGAATTATAAATATGATAAAAAAGTGTGCATTTTGTCTCCAATCACGTGAGGGTTGCATGTTATGATGCCACTTTGACTAAAGCAACAATAATGCATAATTGGATGGCATTGTGGTGGTGATGAGACACAACACAGATGCGAAAGAAGAGGGTTTAAATTCCGAAAAACACTTGTTTGTGGAAGGACACGAGTGAGGGTGTTTTTTGAGCAGAAAGAAGCCGAAGCATCAAAAGCTAACATGGGACATGTTTGAACCAAAAGTGCTTCCAAGAACACTTGTCACTTAATTAAACACCATTTCTTAGTATCTTCTTCCGTCAAAATCCAACTCCTAAAAAACATGTTTATCTTTTTCCCTAAATCCCGGACGACCTTTAACATTAGCAAAAAAGTGTGTGCCACTTTTGGAGAATGTGCACAATTCCCTTCTGACCATAAAAAGTTACGTGCTAAAAACCATCTTAGAGAAAATAAAAAAACAAGGTATAATAAACAATGAGAATGAGAAGAGAGAGAAAAACACACAAAACACTCTCTCTCTCTCTATATATCCCTCAGAGCTACCTTTCTTTGCGGTCTTGTTTGGTCATTACGAAGAAAAACATCTATTTTAGGGATGTCTAAAGCACCTTGTCAAAATGTACCCTTTGCCAACCCAACTTCAAAGTCACATCTTTTGAGACACCCATTTGACTAACCCTTTTTTCTTTCTTAATGGTAACTTCCAAAATCTTCCATACCAAGAATGGAACACATCCATTGCATTCATTCTTCCTCCTCCTTCAAATCAACTTCTTTTCGTATGTGTATAGTTTTCCAATGAGTTATTTGTAATAAGAATGTTTTGTTTTCTTTTTTACCATATATACACTCTTACTAATGGAAAACCAAGACAAGAAAATACTTCATGCCCATTTTTTGAACTGTCCATCTATGTGTGCTATTATTTTCATATTGGTAGTAGTGATTAAGTTGTGTTGGTACACGAGAGCACTATGATACAATGCTCAATATTTTGGCCTTTCACTCTGGGGCCCAAATGGAGCTAACATAGTACTATCTTTTGGCTCTTGGAATCTTTAGTGGAGGAGTCAAGGGTCTTGGATTCAAACACCAATCAATTAACAAACACAAATCACTAATTAATCTTAAACAAATGGGGTTGAGCCCGTGTGACATCTCTATCCTTTCATGAGCCAACATGTTATTACTAGTTGCAAATGTTTTGGCACTGAGATTAGAGTTATGTTAATCAGCATCCTACTGGTTAGAAACTTTAAATACGATTTTTTAATCGAATTTCATATTGAAACAATGCATTGAAAATCACAGCAGAGACATATTAATAATGGTTTTTGATGAAAACTTTTTTCTTTTTTGAATTTCTTAGCCAACCAGTAAGATGATAGTCAAAAAGAGAATTGGCACTAAGAAATAATATGCTGAGAACAACAAAACGGCTTGACCCATTTGTATGATTAGCATTGTGCTATTTCCAATGCTATATAGGCATGTGATTGCAGACTAATTTAAGGCAGTACTAAATAACATTTTCCTTGTAGGATGAACTAATAAGAATGTGCCCCACTATGCTTTTGCTTTGTGGGGCGGTTTAATCCAACTCAACTTGCTAATCTCCTTTAAACTTTTCATTGCCCTTTTGACTACACCCTTTTAATATTGGCTTTTGGAGATCAGACATAGTAAAGGTGATTAACCTAAAAGGCATTTTTTTTATCTATTTAATTTTATGCCATTACCCATTTTCTCCACTAGCCTTAAAACTCTGCAGTGTACTTGTACATTCACAAGTTCATCTTAAACCACCAAAATTTGATTATAAGCTGTATAGTACACAAAGTATTATCCTTGAAAAGTCTAAAATACAAGCATAATAGTGTAGTCTCCAACAAAACTTAAATCTGCTGGAATTTTGTTCAAGTATGTTAAAACTGGAGAGTGCAAGTTAAATGCAGCTTGTAAATTCAGTAAAAGAAATCTGATCTGCACTTTTATATAAGAGGTTTAGTTTACCTGACTGAGTCACAAATCGTAACAGGGCACTAAGCTAAGACCATGGTCAACTGCTATGATCAGTTTGGCCCAAATAAACTCTGGTACCAGAATTAAAAATTCTACAATTGAATTACCAAAAAAAAAGTGGAAAATGTACTAGATATATTTAGAACAAACAAAGTTAAGAGTTTGTCTGGTGGGCCCTTCAAAAGGAAACTTTTTATTTTTGTACTCAAGTGTGGGGTTGTTTCCATGACACAAGACAGGGAAGTCTCACACAATATAAAAATGTTGGATAATTTTGTGTGTAGTTAGAGATGATTTTAACTGCTCCCTTTGAAAATTATGAAGCAAACAAGAAGCTCCGATGTAATTGGTTTGATTATTTTGCATAAAACGCGGATTCACATGTGCATAATACATGCAGCTAGTGAATGTCATGCTAAGATTAGTACCTCCAAATTCAAATGTTTGAGACTCTCTAGGAGTATGTATGCAGACAAAACCACGCAGTTGTTTTTCCTTTTCTGGTTTTGTCAGGGACTGATTGCAGCATAATAAGATTTCAGATTTCATTTACACCAATCATTCAGTCTCCCAGGAAAGTTCTCTAAAAACAGCAGTGTATGTATTATCTCAAAAACAAACCTTCTAGGTCAATATCTATCAAGCCTATAGCAAAAACTGATGCAGAATTTTTATGTTAGATTTCTTTGAACATAAATTAAAAATCAAAATAGTAATTTATAGGGCAAGCTTTTCTTTTTTGGTGCTTAAGTTTGGTGCTTAAGTATGCCACTTTTTTCATTATTTTTTTTCCTTGTATTGGAAATAGCACATAGAGCTTACCAGGTCAATTCCAGGTAGTTAGTTGATTAGCTGGGCCTTTACACGTGAACTGATATGAATAGAGATTTAATTTTGTCAATCCTTATCAAATCCCAATAGCTTGCATGGCCCTGATGTAATAATTACCTCACTAACTTTTACATTATTCAACACCAATGTAATTTTGTGTATTTTCCACCTCATTGTCTATGCCTGTGCTTATTATTACTAACAAACAGAAAACACATTTTATACTGTCGTTGGAACTAGAAAGAAAATGACTGTTGCAAGGAAATAAGATCTCAAAAGTGCGGTGTGTAGAGCCCCATTTAAAGTACTTGACAAGTGAAGGGAATCTTTATTTTCACTGTTTAGTTGTGAGTCTTAACTAAATGGGATGGAGAACTAGAGGTTTAATAGAAATAAGAAAAAGAAAGATTTTAAAAAGTAGGTGGAAAGGGGAGGATGGTCTCCAAAGAATGACATCTGCAAAATGTCCTTTTTCTTCCTTCCATGATCAAGTCACAGTCTTTAAAAGACTCCCCAAGACTTCTTCCATTCATCATAACATAACCTTCTCTGCTACTAAGTCCTAAGTCCTACCTTCTGCAGTCCCCATTCTCTTCTGTCCTCTCTTCATTTGGCACACTATTTAACTCCCCACAGCCTACTCACATTTTCTCAGCTCATCTCACTCCAAACTTTCTTTGCCATTTCCCTAGCCATGTCAACCTCTAGAACCTCAGATACATCCTTCAAAGCATATGACCCCAACCAAACTCAAATGTGTCTCTCTCTTCTCCAACGCAACACATCCCCTTGTGGTGAGAGAAGAGGCAGAAGGAAGCAAGCAGAGCCAGGGAGGTTCCTTGGGGTAAGGAGGCGCCCTTGGGGTCGATATGCTGCTGAAATCAGAGACCCCACAACCAAAGAGAGGCATTGGCTAGGCACATTTGACACTGCTCAAGAAGCAGCTCTTGCTTATGACAGAGCTGCTCTGTCCATGAAAGGAAGCCAGGCAAGAACCAACTTTGTTTACTCTGACAACATCAACTTCCACACTGTCCTTTCTCCTGTGGATGTTCAAGTTCAAGTTCAAGTTCAACCTCTCCTGCCAGCTTCACAGTTCCTCACTAACACCACTCACACCAAACAACCAAACAACCAAAATAGCCTCCCTCAGGTTATTCACACTTCAAACTCTGGAAACCCCTCCCCGTTGAACAATGACGTATGTGTTGAAACCACATATGGGTCAGCTCAGGATGATAGTTTCTTCTTTTCCACTGATTCTAACTCAGGCTATCTGGAATGCATAGTACCTGATAACTGTTTCAGACCTGCTTCCTCCAGCACCAACAGTTCAAACTCCAGAAAGAGCAATGTGAGTGATCAAAAGGCTAACACATGCTCCACGGAGAGTACCAATTATCACCAGAACTCACATGTTGACATGACTTCATTCTCTCAAGAAGGCATGGAAATGGCTCCAAGGGCCTCTTACTTTTCAGATTTTTGTTATCCAAGTGAACTGAGTCAAGGATCATGGGATGATCAACAATCATGGGATTGGAACTGCAGTGAACTTTCAGCTATATTTAAAAACCCATTAAGGGTGGAAAATGGGTGCATGGATGCATTGTACCCCATCACTGATCATAGTCCTAGTCCAAGTCCAAGCTATGGGCTAATGAATGAGGCTGCTTCTTCTACTACCTGTTCTCCATCACTTCCACCCTTTGGGGACGTAGACTTGGGATACCCACTCTTCTGAGTCTCAGACTGAGGTGCATTTATCAAGGAGTGCCTTGGTTAGCCCTTGTGTACTTGCATTGCATGCACTTGTACGTTTCTCTTTTTAATTTTCCTTGTAACTTGGGTCTAGCAACCCTTTTTCCTTCTTCTAATGTAATTACTAAATTGCACACATCATGGGGTGAGTGGGTGAGTGAGTGAGTGAGTGAGCTCTTTAGGTTTTGAGATGTTGAAAAAAGCTCCACTACCACCTCTCACTTTCAAATCAATGGAAAGCCTTTCCTCTATGCTCTGGCTTTCCCCCCTTATTATTTATTATTTAGGTTTAACTATACTTCTACACTATATACTTTATTTTCATATCTTATTGCTTCTTTAGAGTATTTTTGGTAGAGAACACATCTTTGATGCCAAATAATCTTATTAGAACAGGTTAGAATTATATTATGAGTGCCATTTTTTTCTTCTTTTAATATTTGACATAATAGCAAACTTATACCAAACGTATATGTTTCTATTTTACACGGTCCAAATTAATTTCTTTACCTTGAAATTTTAAAACTTTTAATTAACATAAGGGTAACTTACAGTTAATTTTGTACGAATCAACAAAGAAAAAGTATAATACTAAATAAAACTGAAAATTAAAACATAAAATGTAACAAAGTCCATTTTGTTTTTGGAAGTATACATGTATTACAAATGTTTTCAAATTCATGATAAGGATGGTGAATTCTTATGTTTATTACTGGATAAACTTTTGAGGTGGGTGACTTAATTTCAGTAAGTGAAAAGTTATAAACAGAATGGGAAGAGTTGAAAATAAAGGTATAAAATCATAGTTGAGAAAAGAATATAAAGAAGAAAAAGTGATGATAAACCTAATATTTATATGGATGCATATTGATGGCATGATTTTATCCTTCTTTTGGGCCAGTTGCCTAAACTTTTGGGTACAATAAAGGTGGTGATGGCAGAACCAACATATCCATCAAACAGCATATATAGGTTCACAGAAAGACACATTGTCAAGCCAATAACCCGCGATTCTAATCTATTGCTTGCAGTACATTCCCTTTTCCTGACTATTGATTGATTAGATAATGACTTGTTTTTCCTTCTTTTCCTCTTCCCTTTCTCTTTTCTTTTATCACCTTCCAAAACAGGTTTAGTTTTCAAACCAAAATAAATAAATAAATAAAGTTCCCTGTTTGAAGCTATCATGGTTAGGTATGGGAAACATGGGAAGCAAGACAGCCAGGCATCCCATATGAATCTTATCAATTGCATATTTTTTATATAAAAAGATAAGAAAATAGTTACTGAAATCATTTTTAGAAAGAAAAAACTTAGTTTTTTTTATGAATTAAAATTAACTTATATTAAATAATTTTACGTAAATTTTTTTTGTGTTGTATTTTTAATAGTTTATCACTTGTTAGTAGTTTAACGTATATGGCCTAACAATTTCCCAACATTATTTTTTTACAGTGATCATATCATGATATTTTGATAATAACCATGTATTTAAAAATATATATATATAATACTTAATAATAAATATCTATTTTTATTTTAGATAGCATTTATGGTAAATTACAGTGTGATGACGATTTCTTTTAACATTATCAGAATTTTAAATCAATGGTCGATTGATATAAATTAGTTTTTTTTTAATATTAAAAATCCATTTTATAAAACTTGATGCATGAACTTTAGATCATCCTATCCCAATACTAAGGATCCATGTGTTTGAATAAAAAAATTGACTATTACAGATAAATGATCAGGAAAAAAAAACATTTTTTAAATTCGTACAAATATAATACAAATGTTACTTTTCTTTCAGTATCTTATGTATTATTTATTGGTCACGTTTGAGGATAAAATATATTTGAAAACACAGAGGAATAAGATTTTTTTCCAAAATTACCTTTCTTAAAAATAAATGTATGATAATTTTATAATTATATAATTATAAAATTGTTATTTATTTATCATTTTTTTAATTTTTCTTTTTCTTTTTTACCCCAATTTAGCTCATTTCTTAAGTTTTCTTTCTTCGTAATTTTTTTTTCACTCAAACTAGGCTAAAATCCAATAACAGTTATTTAATAATAGGTACATTAAACTAATAAAAATGGTTTAGATTTCATTATTGCAGAACTAATTTTTAAAAAAGTGCGATGAGCTCTGAATTCAAGCACAGCTCAGCAAGAATGATTCCAGAATGAGGCCTTAATATTGGGCCTCTATAATTGGACTATTCTCTGACAATTTGGTCCCTTGAATTAAAAAACCTACCACACTTCGAACATCTCCAATTATTTTTTTACAATTCTTTATAATAAAAACATTATTTAGTTTTGAAATCATATTAAACAAACAATTTTTATTAATAAAAAATCCTTTTAACAAACTATTGGAAATGCTATTAACTCCTGTTTCAAAACTATTGATTTGGCTCTTTTCCCATCTAGTCAATTGTCCTGTACGTTGAAAATCCAACTATCCAATTATGTAGATACTAATTATCATGGATATCATGGATAGCCTTTCACTAGAGTAATGAAAAATGAAAAAACTGACTTTTATGCCATGAAACTTGTTTTTTTAAAACAAAACATAATTGGAGTTTGATTTATCTAAAAAAGAGAAAACATGTTACACAATTTTTTAAAACAAAACATAATTGGACGGGAAATTAATACTAGTTCAAAGGCTCACCAACCAACAGCAATTATAAATTGATACACAACACACCCTAATAGTATCAAAACCATATTTGTCACTGCAAATTCTAGATTAGACCACTGAAATTGGAGCATGTCCAAAAAGAAGAGAAAGTAATCGCCAGTTTCATAGTTCATTTTAAGATCACCTGGTGATATTTTTTTCTTTTAGTGCAAAGTGGATTTGGTTGGTCAGGTTCACTTGACCTTCGACTTTAAAGCGCTAAGAAATAAGAACGCGTGTACCTTATCTTGGACTCTGAATTGTGTTGTATGTTCTTCGTTGCACCTTGGACCCTGAATTGTGTTGTATGCTCTATGTTCTATGTTGCATGTCATGCTGCGTTCTTTATATCGAGAAAAGTGTAATCTATTCATAAATACAATCATCTTACACCAAACATATCCAAATATATTGGGGATGGCTGATGAAAAAGTGCTCCAGAAAAATCCCCTGATCTCACAGGAAAGTTTGGGCAGGTAAAATGACAATGAAGAAAAGATTATTAGACTTTCAAATGTGTTAATTTAAAGGTGCTTCTTCATATATGTATTCTGTAATAAACTTAAGTACCAAGTCAAGCATTTTACTTGTCACAACATCACTGTGTATCTGAAATCATAAAAGATAGCAATGTGAAGCCTCATTATAGTCTCCTGATTACTACTCTTCACATCAAACCTTGTATAAGTTGGGAACAGGCAATTGTGACCTTCCAAGCAAGGATTTAGATATTATTCCCAAATGCAAAAAGGGGTTCATGTGAAGAGATTTAGCATGGTCAATAAAACTCCGGACACAAGTTTCTTTCATAAAAAAAAAAGATTGAAGCATAAATAAGCACAACAACAAACTACTAAAATTGGAGATGTGGATGGACATGTGCATAATGAAGTTGCAGATTCTTTTGAAGTTACTAAAAAGCAAGGTGCGTGTATGGGTTGCTAAAATTCTCAAGGTTGGCCATGATTTATTCAAGATAAAAGGGGTGGCCACAAAAAGATTATATGAACACAGGGACAATTGATGCAATGTGTGCTAGACCTGAATGTGGAACTGAGATGATTGAAAATAAAAATCTATTTGAGAAAGTCCTTGAGTAATCATGACCTAATGAAAATTTGTGATAAAAAGGAGTAATAATGAGGAATTCATTCACATTGCTTAACTAGATGTATAAGAGACAGTGCTACTTGTGGTAGCGCTGATAGTTGCGGAGGAACTGGAACTCTGAGTAGATGATTGGATGCTTGAATGAGAAATGGGTCCAACACTTGACAAGGTCAAACCAACAGATCCGGTTGATGTGCTCATTGAAGACATTCTGGATGAAACAGACTCCTTACTAACTCCTGCACCAAGTTCAGGTCGCAATTCTGATGATGAAGATGACGGAGCAAGAGTACCAATTGAGGAACCCACAGGATAGGGTGCAACAGGCATGTCAGCCAAGGAAGAGGCAGATGGACTATAACTAAGTGATCCTATGGGATGATCGAATTTGCATGCAGAACCGAACTTGCAAACTCCACGCTGGGTATAATGTGTGCAAGGCTGTGCTCCCTGATTACCAGACACAATTAACAATCGAGAAATTATGAATACAGTCAAACAATTTAAAAATAATCAACATGATAGACAAATTTATCATTACAGAAACAGTTCTTTAAACAACTGAAGTCATAATGAATAAAAACAAAAATATTTGTGTATTCTTCAATCACATTTCAGAAAACAAAATAAAATGCTACAGCACCACCGTAGAGAAATAATAGTCAAAAAGATCATTAAAGATTAACCTATGAAGACTGAAAATGGTCACATAAAAACATAAAATAATACAAGGACGAGTGTCATCAAACATCAAAATCTGTTTATAACATAGAAAATAGAAAACATCCCTAATCCAGAATAACAAGTATGAAACATGACATTACCTATAAAAACAAGATTGAACACCTCAAGCTAGCATGAGAACATAGCTCTGTGGGGGAACAACAGATAATAGTGCATATGCACAGTTATGCACTAAACACAGAAACAAGAAACAAGCACTGACAAAAATTGGAGGCAAAATACAAACAATGCCAGCCAATTCCATACAAAGTCAAAACCTCAGATAATATATACCTATGGTTCTTGAATCCAACATATTGGAAAGAAGGACATTTCATAATATAAATAAAATTCAAACATAAAGAAAAGAAAAAGAATATGGAATGCTCCAATAGACAGAATCATAGGTTCGTAAAATGTAGATAATAAAGATCCAATATGAATGAAAATAAGTAGAAAATAACATGTGACTCTAAATCAGACTAGGAAACATTGATATCATGGCAGATGCATTTAAAAGGACATCATGGAACAAATAGTTGAAAAGAACTTGATGTTATATAAACTAAATAAAAAAGGTTGTTAAAACATGTCCTTTATTGAAATTGAGTAACTGATTGTTAAAAATATAACTTTATTAATAAGGTTATAACACATAAGTCTATGTATTCTTATATAATTTTCAAATAGCTTTCCAAAATTTAAGTAAGTTTTTAATCCTATTAATTCTAAAATATTAAAATTAGTGTACTGAAATCAAAAAGATCCACAGACAGATTCAAAATGCTGACAACCAGTGAGAAATCAAGAAGCTATTTTAAAAATTTGAGAATAAGAATTACATCTAAAATTCAATAAAACTATAAACAAAATAATTAAACCTATTAATAAGAAATATTATTGGGATTTATATTAATTTGAGGTTAGAGGTTAGTTGGTTATTGGGCAACATGCTACCAGAGAAACTAATCTGAGATGTATTACAGTATCTCAATTATAAGTATTATGTTTTAGCATATACAAATTTAAATATGAATACAAAATTTTCAATCATTCAAGAATTCATACAAGAAAATATTCACTGCCCTGTCAAAGATTGTATCCTTGGAACCAAACTTAAAAAAGGATTTAACTAATAGAACTTGTCCTTGGACATTCACAGTGATACACTACAGTTTTAAAAAATATACACATAAAGAAGGAACAAAAAACACACTTATAACGAATGCAGTACAAGACAGAAATTCTAATATCAGAAAAGGTGACACTAAAAACTACAGAATGTGTGATCTGATGACAGCTCGGTATAAAGCACCAAAGAACTAAGAAGTTGAAATTACCGGACGCAAAGGAAGACCTACAGGACTAAGGACTACATTTGTTTTAGGTGCGCCCTTGTCTGGTGGATGGTGATATTTGCAAGAAGGACCAAATTTGCACTCCCCTGTTTTCATGTAATAATGACATTCTGGTTGATCAGGTCTTTCTGGAAATGGATGCTCCTTCTGTATAGGACCTGAAGGACCAATTGAGGAAGCAGAAGGTTGATAAAGTCCAGTATACGTAGCTGTTGAAGAAGGTATCTGTGTTATCCCATAAAACTGTGTTGATCCAACATTAGGCGAAGTGCTAGATGGAACTACAGGATTTGTTGCAGGAGCCTGCACCAAGTGTTTAACAGCTTCAGTAAATGTACACGTAACTTGATTAAGCATATCATAGTGGACCTACCTGATAAGGACCCCAGCCTGAAAAAGGGACCATGGCAGGGGACACTACCATAGGCCCGTAGGGACCTTGAACTACTGAGCCAGGTAACATAGGTGGCCTTGCAACAAGTACACCATATTGTTGTTGCGAAGGACCAGGTTGGGACTGTACAGTTGGATATATTGGTGAAGGTACAGGCAAAGGCAGAGGGGAAACTGAAGGAACCTGTGATGGTGTTACAACTTGGACACCGGCAGGCTGGGGATGGTGGAATTTACAAGTTGCACCGAATTTGCACTGTCCAGTTTTCACATAATATGAACATTCTTTCTCACCCTGTTATTGTTTATGAAAAATAATTTGAATCAAACTTCCATCCTCATTAGAAAAATATGTCATAAAAACTATATGATATTACACGATAAAAATAAACTAATACAGACCACTCGCAATGGATATCCATAATAATTCAGTGGTACAGGGGTAGCAGTGCCTACTGGCTTCCTAGGATGGTGGTACTTGCAGGATGCACCAAATTTGCATGATCCCGTTCTCATATAGTACTGCAGTTCAACAGCAAGCATGTACAATACATAAGAAAAGTTACCAACATTGAAGACATCCAGAACAAAAACAGAAGACAATCTCAATTTTCACTCAAACCTTGACTATTGTTCAAAAAAAAAAAAACACCAAAAGGCGTCACTCTTGTAAGACATACTGCAATTACATTTACAGTATCACCAATCAAATGTAACCATTAAATACATGTGCAGCACACAATCTATCAAAGCCATATTAAAAACCTGGCACGCAGGCTGTCCCACGCGCTCTGGAAACTCCCCTCCAGTCCTCGCTGCAGCTCCAATAACCTAAATAACAAAACATGCATAAATATATGTAAATTAGAAAACATGCAGTGTCCCAATGCAGACTTCTTCTATCTCATGCAATTCCATTAAATAGTAGCACAAAGATAAAATTCAACAAATTGCAGTTTAGAGTTAACACAACAATCCACAGAGATAAGATCAAAAGCAAAATTGAAAATTTGGGCCAAAGCCCTGAAAAACTAGAGAAGTAAGAATAAGAAGATTTATTTATTACCGCAGCTCGGTCACGAGGATGGTTGAAACGACATCGTATACCGTAACCACAAAATCCAGTCCTCAAATAGTATATACAATCAGCCTCATCAGGACGTAGGGGGTAAGATTCGCCAGTTGCTAATCCGAGTTGCCACGAGGGCTCTGCATTATTCACAAAATCAAGATCAAACCTATTTTCATTATTATCACCCTCTGCATTATTCTGCACAAATCGAAAATCGCATAAGGAATAACAGAAATGCGGATAGAATACCTTCTAAGCCGGCGTCGGCACCACCCCCGGTCCATTCCGGCGACGGATCAGACTGTGACCCTTCGCTGGTCCGGCCGTACCGTTCCATTGTACGGACCAAGTGGAGGAAAAGAGGGACACAATCTGCTGAAAGAAGGAATGAGAGTTTTTGATGAAAAGAGTGAGAAACTACTTCTGATTTTCTCTCTCTTTCTCTCTCACTCCTTCACTCACAGACACTGCCTCTATGTTTCTCCTACACTATTAGTTTGGTCTTTTTCTCTCTCTAGTTTCTCTCTCTTTCGGTTTCCAAGCTTCTTTTATTTTTTATTTTGATCTTTTCTCTTTTCATTGGTGAGAGAGATTGTTGATTTATTATTTATTGTACGCGCCAAACATCTCATAAACTTACCAAAAGAATAAAAACAATAACATAATCTCCCCTTCTAATGCTCCCTCTTGCTTCATTATTAATTATTAATAACAGTAAATTAATTACTTCTTTAAGAAATAAAGAATCTATAAAAGTATTAAGATTCTAATATTAAAATAGTTTGTCCTTCTACCAAAAAATTTATATTTTAAAAAATTAATATACAAAATAAATTATTTATTAATAAATATTGTAAAATATATAATATAACGGAAAAATTATATATTGTATCAATTGAATTTTTAGGGAATAAATAAAATAATAAGTGATGGTAAAGATACTATATAGTGGACGTGATAAATTTGTCCTATTTATACTTTATAAGAGTTAACATAAAAAGCAATGAATAAAATTAGTGAGATAATTAATTAGTTAATCTTGTTCACGGTTGTGGACAGACGTTGTGGTCTCCGATGTAAAAAAGAAACATGAGTAGATGTCATCGGCTCCACGTGGCCGAAACATGTTAGATCTTCCTTAAAAGTGGTAATAAAAAGGTTACAGGAACACAGCACTATGTATGATGTTACTGTGGGCTTTCGGGATCCATTCCCATACATTAACTAAGAAGTCCCAACTAGTCAGTTTCTTCCTTACTTTGAGGTTCAGGAGTTATTGAATTTGAAAATGTTTTGTCTTACCGTGTGTAACAACGAAAACGTCCAACACGTTTCTGTGAAGATAGATTCATTTAAACTTTGGCCTAACCGAATGAAAACAAATTATTCATATCTTTCCATCAGCTTCCACTTAGATTGTGTAATGAAAATGCACTTTTATGTTGAAAGGTGATTGGTTAGCACAAAGTAGTTTTTCAGCATTCCCACACTTCGGCAAAATAAATTAAAATTACTTATCTCTCCCTCAAAACTTTTTGGACGAAGTTATAAAATTAATTTAGGTTTTAATTTGTTTCTCTAACTTTCTATTTGAGTTACTCTTTTCAACTATTGTTATTCTATTTTTTTTAAATTAATTCATTTTTTTAATTATCTTATATCAATTTTGTATCTTCTTTAAAACAAAAGTTTATAAAATAAAAATAAATAATTTTTTTATCTTCTTTATTTTTTTGTCAAATAAACTTAAATATTTATCCAACCTTCATTATCTTTGTATATCAAACCATTATCGTAATTAAAAATCATCAATTTTAATCAAAGTTCAAGCCTCTATCTATAGAAAAAAAAATTGTTATAAAAAGAATTATGATACATTGTAAATATATTTGTACAAATATTAGTTGTGTATGTTTGTGCAAAGCTAATAATAAATTTAACTCTAAATTGTGTCAATTATTTTTTTTACAATCTTTTATTTATTTTAAAAATTCAGTTAAATTTCAATTCAAAAATTATTTTTATGAATCAATTAAAAATTCATGGTAGAGAAACATGAAAAAAAAAACATATTTTGAAATAAATAAATATTTACAACTTTAAATTAGATTTATAATTTGCTATTAGTGAAAATATATCTATCATTTGTTTGTATTTTTAATGGACTAAAATATTATAATCTAAAAAATCATAAACAAATTAATTTTGTTAAATTAATTAAAAAAATATGTAGAGAATTTAAAAAAAATTGATAATATATATATATATATATGTATATATATATTCTAAAAATTATAATAACTTTTTTTAATATCTATCATTAAGTAGGGTATACTGAAATTATTTTTTAAATAGATAAATTTTGTAATTACATGTTTTATTAAATAAATATTTAACCTTAATAAAGATACGAGTATCTAATTAAAAAATAATATTAAAATAATTATTATATATATATATATATATTCTAAAAATTATAATAACTTTTTTTACAATTAATATAATTATCAAAATCACATTTTGATCTAACTATTGATATTTAAAATAAATAAAAATATTTATTAATAATTTAAATTTATCACAAAATTATCTTATAATAACATAATGAATGATATATTTAATTTAATTATATTTATGATTTTTTTATAACAAAATGTGATCTTACAACATTTTCTATACTACATTTTATTTTATTTATCTATATTCATTACATTGCATATTGATTATTTTAAATCAAATTTCATAATAAAAATAAATGATAAAATACAAAAAGTGCAACAGCTCTTTTAAAGCAAAAACAAAACCAAAATCTAGTATTGTGTTAAGAAAAGTATTAAATAAAGTGTACATAAGAAAAAAAAAACAATGGGCTTATATAGTCGAAGTATGTAAAATATCTCACTATTTTATCCAAACATAGTTATTTTTAACAGTTGAACTTATCAAACATTATATTTGAACACATATTTCTTGATTAATTTAAAAAAATATTTTTTTTATCATCTTTAATTTCTTTCAACTAATTTAAACCATCTTAATTGTCTTGATCTTTTCTCTATTTCTTTTCTTTCACACTATGAAACATTAATGATTGAGTTGAATTATTGTCTCTTCCGGAATTTTTTTTTTTCAAGTATGAACTTATTTTGTTTTTATTTTAGTTTTCTAAGTATTGCAGCTCAAAATTTGTCAACTTGCTGAGTATAGTAATTTTATTATTAATAATAATAAAACATATACACTAAAAAAAACAATTTCACGCTGGTCCAAAACAATTAAAGTTTATATTTTTTTATATTCTATTATTAAAAAATTCAAACTTTCTCCTTACTGTTGTGTTCTCATTCCATGTAGATTTTTCACTCTACAATTATTTTGCTGAATATATTTGTTGCTTATAAAAAAAAAAATTATGTTGCTAAAACATCATGGTGTAAGCTTTTTTTTTTTGGTTTTTATCATAATGTTGGACTGTCTTTATGACAAAAAACTGAACATACATCAGAGAGACAAAAACTGTTTGGATGCATTCTTTGTCCAGAGTTAGTGATACAACTTTCATAATCTCTGTCTTATTTTCTGCAAATCCATATTACAAAATCTGAGAAATGTCAATTATTAAAGTGATTGTAAATTTTGTTAACATAGATTATAATAATATAGTTTTGTTTTGGATCCAAAAATTTAAAATATTTTTTTAGGTATTCGAATTTTTCATTTACATGTCAATCTAAATTTTTTATTTTATTTCAATTCCACCAGTAAATGATGATATACGTGAAGATAACTAATAAAATAATAATTTCTGACTTCTTATTTTTCTGTTCTTAAATTTGTCCCAACATAATAATGGACTCCTCACATAGAAGTATTTGAAAATAATTATATTTAAATATAAGTTAGAATCAAGTTAAATATTATTTGTTCTTTCATTTTTCGTATTCAAAGTGATACTTAAATGTACTTAATATATATTTTTTAAACTACTGATATATTTAAAAAAAAAAGTATTTTAAAATAAAAAAAATTATGTATATATAGTTGAGATAGTCGAAGTTTACTTGTGTTTATTTATTTATTTATTTATTTTTACTCATCTTTAAGCTATGTGGAGTAATTTGTTCTTATTTTCTATCAATATTTTTCACAATCAAAATATTAGAAGGGAAAATAAATGATACAATGAAAACATAAATAATTTTAAAAAATCATACATGACAAATTTGTTAACTATTTTGAAAGTGCAATATATACAAATAAAGCTCTAATTAAATTAGTTAGTTTTGTGGTTGAATTTATCTTTATCATATATAATATACGTAGCTGATGAGTGCAAATTGGTCATAGCCACAGGTGTTTACTGTAATGCTTTTATATGGCGTTTGATTAAAAAAAATTCCAACAAGTTTAATTTCATGTAATCATAATTATTAATTTATAGTTAACGCGGATTAATATAACACATCATATAATCATACTATTTACAGAGTTTGTTTTATTAGAAGAATGAAAACAGGTTTCTGTTTTCCTGTGCATCAATTTATTTTATACAGTGGACACATGCTGCCAAGATTATTGTCCTTCACGAATCTTCTTTTTACTATATTGTGTAAAGTGCATTCACTCTTTTTTTTTTTTTCATTATTAATTCATTCATTTTTATATGCTTTAACATGATATTATGTGTATTATACATAATATGAGAAATATAATGTTTATAAATAATTTGAGATTTTGACCAGATATTTTAACTTTAAGTAAAATTATATAAATAAAATGAAAAGGCAGTGCTAGTTAATTTCTATGATTATCGACATAATTTTCTTTTTTAGAGTTTATCCTAATCATATAAATATTATTACATTATGAATGATGTAATAATATTTTTTGTTAGACATAATGTGATATATTTTGGAATAATATATTAAGATGTATTAGTATTGTGTTACTATATTTAAATTATGTATTTGATTTTATCTCCTGATTTATTTTGATGTTGTTCCTATATTGTCTAATTATAATAATTACGTGGTGTTTGTACGAAAATAAATATATCATATAGACATTCGACCTAAGTAGGTATAGACCTGAAATTTCTAGAAGATGAATTATATTTTACTAATATTTTAATTAAAAAACTTTATGTATATATATTTTTCTTATGTAAAAAAATATATTTTAAATATTTTGTACATATAAATATAAATATAAATATAAATATAATATATATATATATATATATTATTCTACTGTTACGTATATTTATTATATTTACATATTGTATGTTATTTTATTAAAATATTTATTTTAAACAAATATTCTCAAATGATTTAAACT